AAAAAAAACATTTACATATTAGTATATAATAAATGAAACTTATGACACCCATTAGTTGAATTCACATTTTCATAAAACTAGTTTACTACCTCTCTTCTGCATGAAGATTAACCCCGACTGCTCGAGGTCTGGAAACTGTAGTACGAACTACGGTACCAAAAACGGCCACTAGCTTCAAAAGCATCTCCAATGAGACACTAGCATGCCTATAAATGCAACGAAACAAACAAAAATAATGCAGGTCGTATTATTTCGTTAATTATTCCAAAAAAAAATAAAAAAATAAAAAAATCTCGATGAAAACTATTGCTAACAAAGTTCACCTTTCAGATTTGCTATCCAACAAACTTACAAGTACAGGCAGCAAGCAAGAAAACAGGTCTAGTGTAATAACCTCCATTCTATCAATGAGCACACTGATTACATCAGCCTGTACCTGCTCACATGGAATAATTTTAAGCAAATTTTGCAGGTAAAAGTTATAACATAATTGAAAATGAGTAAAATATACTGCATTTACAGAAAGAAATACCCACAGAATGGTTGGGCAATTTTCTCACAGCATTTAGAGCTCCTTTAACATCGTTTCTTTGCCAAAAATGCCGAACCACCTGTTATCAGTACGCAGGTAAATATAATTTCCTACAAATGAAGATCTACCCATCACAACACTCTGAAATTACCTGTAACTTCATTAGCCGGGACCTAAATGTACTCAATAGCCCATCATGACTCTGCATTAGGTTCTCAATGACGGTATTTTCATCCAAATCTGACTGTTCCATAACATTTTGCGGCTCATCATTCTGCAGCACACAGCCAGGTTTCATTGAATTAATAACACTCCATGAAGAAACAGCAAAAAGAAGAATTCTTTTACACGGTCATATATGGCAAAGAGTATCTACAGAAGTTGCTGTAAGAATTGTGCTTGACTATGTTGCGCAGATGTAAAGCCCAACTCAACTAACAAAATTTCCGTTCATGTTATAAGAGAAAAGTACAAAAAACATGATGTTTTCACCTGAGAGGGGGGTGGGGGTGGGGGTAAGGTAGGGGTGGTTGGTGTTTCCACATGCCCAACATCCACACTAAATGCCCTATCGGGATAGTGATTTTCGTTCACTTCAACTTTTTCCTTTCGCTCAAATCTCTCGACCAAGCTTCGCGTCCTTCCATGCTCAACAGTCACTGTCAAAACCAGAAAAGGTACTTTTGAGTGTTTATGAATTTTTCATTTTCAGATGAGAAATTTATGTTAAACAGGTGAGACCTCCATTGACAACTTTAACTGGATTCGCCCCTTTACTTGTACTCAGTTCCTGTTCACCTGGAAGAATGAAGAAAATAAAACAAGTAGTGTTCAGAAAGATAATCAGTCGATCATCCCCAAAATCTATGATCATGTGTTCGGAAAGCTTGCCGAGAAGCAATTATCTCAATCATCAGAAGAAAATGATGCAGGCTTTTCCAGAGAAAGAAAGGACCAAACTATACCTGATGATGTGGCCGGTGACGAAGGCCTATCCCCCACACTCTTTATATTCGATAGTTCCACCTCACACATTTCCTTTGCATTTTCATCAGCAGCGAGCCTATTACGAATGTTCATGTCCTTTTTACTACCGCCAAAAGAGCTTTTTACACTGTCTTGAGGCACAGAGTCAAGGGGGGAAGCTGACATTCTTTCCATATCAAAACGGCCAGTCGACAGCCTCCGAGCATTAGTCGGCTTCATAGACGTGCCCCCGCCTGCCCTAACCAAAGACATTGACTCCCTTCTAGAAACTACCGGATCTTTCCCATCAGGTCCATTACGAGGCACAATGTTAGGCGTGATGAGAAATCTGTTGACTGCTGGCGCGCGCTTTTGGATTCTGATGGTTCTGATTTCCTTGGGTTCAGATGAGTGCATGGCCTTGGGGACATCAACCGCACGTTCCACAGTGTTTGGAGTGACGGAGTTCACACCTGCGATTTTCACGAGGGGTAAAATGGTAAAAATGTTAACCTTATTGAGATGGTCCTGTAATGCCCAGACAGGACTTACGGTCAACGTATATAGTTTTGATTTCCTTGGAATCACTGTCGGGCACAGTTGACTGCATGTTTGACTTTGACTTGAGGTGGTTTTCCTCTTTCTCTGGAATATTTGCCTTGCTGTCGCATTTGGGGTCCGTTTTGCTGTGTTGTTCTGCATCCACTCGTGTCCCATATGGCTCGATAAGCTAACACACAAAAATAGGAACAGGTGAATGGTATTTCAAAAATTATTAAATAAACATAAAAAGGGAACTGGAGATAAGTTTAGAAAGAATGGAGAATACCGAGACGTCCGCAACCCAAACAGCCACTGAGTTTTCATAATATGCACCACCCAAAAGTTTCCCGTCGTGGATGCAAAGATCTCCAAGTGTTGACCATCCCATATCGACCGAGTCGTGGCAAATTACGGGCTCCCATGAGTAAACCTGCAGTTCAAGAGATACATCCAAGGTGAACAAAGTGTTTTTTCTTTTACTATATAGAAAGGTAAATAATTATTAGAAAAAAAAAATGAATGTTCAAGAAATTGACCTTTAGACTATCGTCCAATCCACAGAAAAGTGTGCGTCCATCAGGGTGGAAGGTCATTGATCTTACTCCTGAATCCTGATAAGTGAAACCAAAAATAAAGAAAATAAAATGATTTAACTTGGTTAAAGATCTTGAATAAAAAAAGAAAGATTGCATATATAGGCAACGAAATACAGAAAAACATCACATGTAAAAGAAGGCAAAGAAAACAGAAAAAGGAAGGAAAACGAAAGAAAAGCAAAAGAAAAAAAAAAGAAAAGAAAAGAAAGTAGATGTCGTAATTGTTCATGAGTAAAGAACTAAAATTACTTCTGCACAACTTCCTTTTCGGGCAAAATTACTTGTAAGCTATTAGAACACTTAAAGCAAGAAAACGAGGCAAAACTGTAACAGTTTGGCCTATTCACTATCATCGCCATCTTGACTAATTCCTTTAATTGCAAAATTAAGGCTAATCCTTCTTTTCTATTTATCATTGGCTTCTTTAAGTAAAAGTACCTCAACCCTGGTAGATCCAATCATCTCAAACGTCTCCAAGTCCCAAAATTTCACAGTTTTGTCAGCCGAACCTGAAAATATAAATCACTACAGTTAGCAAACCACGAAAATGTAAAGTCTGCTCACAGCAATCAAAACACTCCATGTGCACACTTACCTGTTGCCAATAGAAACTCGAGAGGATGAAATTCTATGGACCGGATATGTCCTTCATGGAACTTGAAGTCATGTAGAAGCTTTCCAGCCGTCAGGTCCCATACCTGCACAGAAGGAAAACAAAAAATGATTTCAGAACCGCAAGAGTCAAAGATGAAAATGTAAAATGGCAAAAAAACTATATTCTTCCAAATATCCTCCCAACCAAACCTTAACGGCTTTATCCAATCCACCGGACACTACCCAGCGGCCATCAGGGGTGAATCTTATCGTGCTTATCCCTCGAGTGTGGCCCTTGTATGTGTGTATGCACCCTTTCTTTCTAATATCCCATATCTTCAGATTCGTGTCCATTGAACCAGATGCTAAAAATTCACCAAAAGGGTGGAACTCAAGAGCCATGCAGTAGGATCTGTGCCCAGTAAGAGTGCGGACCACTGCAATTCAAGATTTATCGTATTGAATTATTCAAGGATGCAATGGTACACCTAATATACAAGGATTTCAAGAGACCAAAAGTTCAACACACAGCACCGTTAGCTGAAAAGAAGCAATAAAAAGAAAGGAAAAAAGGACTCCTTATTTTCCCATCCCTACCATAACCTGCCGAGCCCACAATGAAATAATAAATCATAATATATCCTACATAGTTAAACTTACTTTTCGTTTCTTCCAAATCCCACAACTTTATGGCCCCAGAAGATGATCCAGCTGCCACTAAAACCTCTGCTGAATCAAAAGCTGCGGACTCGACTGGACTTGTATGACCACATAGGCTCTGCAAGCAACAAAACGTCATTGTTCTCGAGTTGTATAACATGATACAAACAAAAGAAAGCGAGAGATTTTATATGAATTCATTTTAACTAGTTAAATACGAAATCACATATCAGAAGTAAGTAGAAGTTCCCAAAATGAAGGAGCACAAGGTTTAAAGCAGAGGCACTCAGCCGCAGCTTAGACTTCAAACATACAATAACCACTCCAATTAACAATTGAACAATAGATGCAAAGAACACCATTTTATCGATTAATCACGGCGAAAGTAACTATGGACGTCAATTGAAATAGCTCCCAATAGCTCATACACCAAACAACTGTAATTATACAGAGAAGAACATAGGCTGGACCACACTCCATTTCTCATTCCGAGTCTATCATTCCGAGTCTATTTGAACAGAAAATTAGCTCCATAAACTTTAATGGAAGGTTTACCATATATGGAATAAAATAGTATAATCCATCTTTACCCAAAAATAAAAAAGAAAGAAAAAGAAAAAACGGCACTGTACGAATTAACCGAACTAGGTCGTCCAAAAAGATGAGTTCAGGAGTAATAAGTACGTTATTCAAATGAAACAATTACCCCAAGTTTTCCATAAGGGATTGTACTAGTCAGACAATCCAATCAAACGATGCAATTTTTAATTGAGTGCATCAACATAAATATAATAGGACAAGAAATCCTTTCTTCGCACTGTCGAATGACAGGTTCGTTCCACTTCCACTACATTATGAGTAAAGTGATAAAAAAAAAAAACATGGTAATGGTCCGAATCAATGTTCACAAGACGATACAAAACAAAGGCCAAATTACATTCTTAACTAACCATTAGAGATGTCGGCTTGCCAACTGACCAGAGGTTCACTTTCTGATCATCTCCGCCAGTAATGAACACTCGGCAATTCTTCTTGCCAAAGGTCAAGCAATTCACATTCCCCCCATGTGCCACAAACTCCTCTATATCAAACTCAGTTAAGAATGTACAACTCACAATTGAAAAATGTACAATCTCGAGCTATTACACAAGCATCTCAAAAGTAAGTTTGTGAATATTCATCAGTTTTGGCAACCACAGATAACATTCCAAAAATAGATAAGTAAAAATTTCAACAGAAAAGGGGTAAACTTTAATCAACCAATACGCTAGCTTCCAGCTGCACAATATGAAAGACTAACAACATTAACTGAAACATCACTAGAACTTAAATGAATCAAGATTCAAGAGCAGGTACCGGAATTTCTAAAAATAAAAAATAAAAAAACAAACGCCACTCGAATAATTAAGTACACTTATTATCTCAACCAAATCACTTCAGATCACCCACCACTGCTAGGTGTGCGACCCGGGTCGACCAACGGATTAGTCGGTGCATAGCTCCGGATACCGTGGTTGGCTACCAAAAAAAAATCACTTCAGATCACTCGAATCCAAAGCCCACCGACACGCATAGCCTCATTAGTTGGAAGGAAAAGAAGAACACACACATTCAAAATGAAATGTAAAGCAGACACAAAGAATCCGAGAGGATACGCAGCTTATACCCACGTTTTTCCATTTCCTCGCCGGAAAATCCGAGTAGCCCAAATCCCGGCGCTGCTGTCGGTGCCCGCCGAGAACGCAATCCCGCCGGGCAGATAGATAGAAACAAAATTAAAATATAGCCCAGAAAAAGGACAGAAAATTGCAGGTAACGGCGAGATAATCTGAATCTGACAATGAAAATGGGAACAAAGTTCGTGAACGGTAATTGGGAAAAGTGGGGAATAATTATCAAAATCAGAGAGGATTTGTAGTGGACCTCAAGATAAAGAAAGTATGGCGAGAGGCACAATCATGAACTTAATAATGAATACTTAAATTAAAATAATAAATTCGATGCTACATTTGCCACCATCTTCCACATGCTTTTTCACCTTTGATCTTACATACACTCATGAAGTGCGTGTAATTATGTGCAAATCAAAGGTGAAAAAGTATGTGGAGACATCGGCCCAAATGTAGCATCGAATCTACCATTTATAATCTCTTAGATTTTCACTTTTTTTTATTAACGGGAAATACTCCCGTCCATTACGGACGATTCTGTAGGGAGTTTTAATTGTTGGATTATCTATTTTATATTAACTATATAACGATTGATACTTCTAACAAATTTCGTAACGGGATCGTAGCATTTCGCTCACTCAAATTCTTATAGGATTTAGCAAAATTTACTCCATTTTGGCATTAGTGATTACTGCCTTCTTTTCAATGTGTAAATTGACCGACAACATTGGTTAAAAATAAAAATTTCATCAAATAACAAACAGTGTCTACAGAAGTTATTTTTTTTAGTCTGCATTAATTAAGATGAAATGATTTAAGTTTTTCTACTGCAACCAGCGTAAGAATGGGAAAAGGTTGTTGCTATTCCTATAGTTGCCGCTCACATTTTTTTTTTTGAAACGTCCAAAAAATTGTTATTCTCTAGAGAAACGACAACTTCAATGAGCTACAACGAGGTACGAAAACTACACCGGTCGACCGGCGATTATGTCCTTGCGCGGTGGCGGGTGGTCGGCAAAGCCGGCCATGGCCATTGGCGAACGCAATATGCAGCCGCTCGATAGCCATCGCGCACGGTCGCTATTAGTTAATTTTGAATTAACAAAAAATCATGTTAGTAGAAATTATTATGTTATAAATTAAAATTAATTATTTATAAATTAGAATTTATTATATTATGTTATAACTTAGAAATTTTTATGTTATAAATTAGAATTGAGAATGTTGGAATGTCACTTGTGAGTTGTCCCACATTGATTTGATAGGTAAATAGACATAACTTATAAGCCTAGTGGACTACTCCTCCTACTACCAACTAGTATTCGACATGTGCATTTGCACAAATGTAAATAAAGTATTGTGAGTTATTTGTATGAATATAGTGATTAATTATTTTTTTCACCTTTTTGCTGGCCAAATTTACAATTAAAGGAGTTGGAATATCTATTTTTTTTAATTGCGTTTATCTGGTTGGATGTAATGTATATTTTGGTACGTCTTTTTTGTGAATTATTTATTATTTATTTAAGAATTTCAAATATGTTTTTTATTTTAAAAATAATAATAATTCAAATTTAACCACATTTATAACATCTAATCACATTATACGGTAAACACATTATATGGTCAACTGTTAATAATCAAAAGCTTAAAATGATTTTTGGAATTTTGAAGTGATTAGTGTTGATTATTTAATAATTAAATGAAAGATTAAATACATCAAAAGTAACGGTTTTTGGAGGGAAAATGGTTAAATTGCCAAATAGGTAAAATTAAATAGGTTTTATTAAATGCTATTAGCTAGTAATTATATATATATATA